AGACAAATAGAGGACAATATGAATTTTTGTTTTTTCAGTCTGTATGTTGGTTATGGAAGTGTACATATCATTGATCTTGCATAGCACTGCTATCACACGAAAAACCATGAATCTTTTGCCATTTTTGAAAATGCGAGTTACAGTGTTTGCATGTTGTCAAAATGGCATAATGAATAGACAAATAGAAATTATCCAGAATTACTTGGAAAAATATCTTGTTAAATTAACTTCCATAAAAAAATTGACTCACAGTTTTTTATCAAATTTTAATTTTAGTTTCCTATCCCTCATCTGCATATTTGTATGAGGATTGACAGGTGTGTTGTTAGTACCTGGATGATTTACTGCAACCAGGGCTGTTTAATCTTGTTTATTGTCAGATAGTCTAGTGTTTCGTCCCTTAACATGGCCAAGAGCCACCTACTTTGACAGGAAGGGACCGTTTAACTAGCGTTCCAAATGACCAATAACAGATGTGGTATATTTTTTAGCTAGACTAAAAAAGCTTAATGGGAAATATATTGGCATGCATTGGAAAACGCAAGTATATCTCACTTAAAAACTTCTAAATGCTTTTAAGAAAAGTCTTGAATAACTTTTAAAGAGGTGATGCGGTAAACTTCACAAAAAAGTCCAGCTATTATATCTTGCTCCAAAAAGCTCTGTAATGGCCGGCATGCTGTTCAACTGCTTGCAAAAGTTTCTTTTTTCATTAGACTGATAAAGCCTACTGCATGAAAGAGTAAAAAAACTACATAAGGACAACCAATCAGAATGCAACTGACAAAATGTCAAAAGTTATAGCCAGCTTAGATGCAGTAGATATCAGACGCTCAGTTTACGTGTGTGCGGATTCTCTACAAGCTATAAGTCATATAAGCAGTTGCTTACTGTCCCCAAGACACTAGTGGGCACCCAATGAGCACAGTTAGTGTTAGCTGCGCTTGTATTGATTTATTGTTTATTTATTTCATACATATGGTTTAGTAGGCAGTATTTTTCCTGTATATAGTTATTTACTGTTTTACTGTGTTTACTCTTTACACAATTTCTTTTTCTGATCAAAATGAATTTCATTCACAGTGGAGCAGCTCCATCAAAGTTAACACACATTCCTAGTTCTACCTTTTGATCCATCCATAGTTCCACCCTGAAGCCCAGCTGTTCATGCACTGTTTCTTTGCAAGTCCTCTCTGCAAATACAGATTTTAAATGGCAAGTTCCGCTGATGGGTGTCTTGATGAATTTTATTAGCACTAGAGGATGCCTTCAGGAGACTAAGCTAGACAGTGCTCACAGGAGAACAATGGACAAATCAAATGGATGAACCAGCAGACTAACTAAAGCAACAGCAAAGGGAAAGCTCAGTTTTATAATTAATGGACCAATAGAAATGATCCAAAATGACTTGAATAGAATTTTGTTACATTAACTCCCAATGAAAGTTAAGAATGTTTGGTCCTTCTCCTGTGAAGTTACTTTTTTGGAGATACGACCCTAAGTAATTGTAATAATTACAACCCTGGAAGGAAGTATTAATTCTCTGTCATTCTTGCATACAACTTAACATGACTAGGTTGAATGGGGGCCCCAACAGGATGTTGCTCATGGCTCCCAAATGCTCGGAAAGGACCTTGATATCTGAGGTAGATAGTTCAAATAATACAAAATCTAAGCTGATCCCAGACCCAACCTTTGGAGAAATGTATCCTGCCCTCACACTGGTCTGCTTCTCACTTAAATATACATTACACATCCTCTCCACTGATGTAATAGCCCACACTTTGGCCATCAGGGTATTTACACTGTGTACATATAGACTCTCCTGATGTTCCTTCAGTAAATTCACTTGGTCTCCGGAGGCCCAGGGCTTTAAGAGTGCCTTTCTCTAATGTGGCTAAGTTATGTTGGCGTCTACATCTACATGCGTGTGTGGATGAGATGTCGAAACAGACTGCGGTTTGTTTCCTCTAAGCGTGAGTAAAGGAGTAAATATACATCCAGTGAGAGGCTTTCACAGCTACCTGTCACTGGTCATTCTGGGGAAAATCAGTCTGTCGTTAAAGCATTGCTGTTTGTTTGTTTAGCTGGTGCACGAGTGTGTCTGCCTGACTGTTTAGCCCACGTGTGAATCAACATGGCACTGCACATGAGCCTGCATGGGTGCTCGTCTAGTTGTGAGTTTGAGAGCACATTGACTAATCGATCTCTACTCTGCAGAACAGTCATTGGCCCTCAGGACGTATTCACATTGATCTGTGTGGGAGAGATGATAGATCAATAGCTATCAGCTTCGTGCATGAAAACACGGGGGGTGGACAAAAGGATCCGATGCCGCATTCCGTTGTACTTGCAAGTTGTGTATTTCCGAGTCAGTACTCCCGATTTCAGATCTAGATCTTCTACTGGAAAACAAGTGCCTGCAGTATGAAGTTTTTAGGGCAAGTCATGGAATTTAATAAGCATCTTAAGCAAGTGGCAACCATGACTATTAGAGCTAGGCCTTTGGTTTAGGCCAGAAACCCACCTCAGCGATAATGCTAACTGCTGTCCGTATTCTAGTGGTTTATTAGCACTAAGCTAACGTCGATTCGCATGAATACTTTCTGACAAGGCTGAAGTCAGCATCTTATCCGGATTTTCTGTTTCACCTTAAGTGCTGCAGCAGTTACATTATGGTGCATTTAGGCACCTTTTAAGGTGGGACTGAATTTCCTACTAATCTTAAGATGACATACGTCAAAAACTGCAGCACATCACAGCACACACTGCTATTGCTACAGCAGCAAAGGGAGTATGCTTATTGCTCACATAGATTTTGACTGTTACATAGGGCTGTTTATACTTGTAAACTTAGTCTGACCAGCAGTTCAGTACTCTACATGGTGGCCTCCCACCCGCTATATTTATATTAAACTATATGGCCAACAGTTTGCGGACACGTGTTCTTCCAAAATCAAAGTCTTAAGAAGGAGTTTGTCCCCCTCTGCTGCCGTAACTGTCTCTACTCATCAAGGAAGACTTTACTCTAAATGTTGGAACATTGCTGTGAGAATTTGATTGCATTCAGCTGCGGGAGCACCAGTGAGATCAGTTATTGATGTTGAATGATTCGTTTTGGATCACAACGTCACTCCAACTCATTCCAAAAGTGTTCATTAGTGCTCCCTCACTCTAGAGAACACAGTTCCAATGCTCCCCAGCTTAATGCTGGGGGAGTTTCATACCCCTCTAGCCTACATTTAGCATTGGACATGGTGACCTTAGGCTCCAGAGCATCCTGTTCTTTTGTCAGTGTTTTCTATGGAGACAATACAAGCTGTGTGTGCATTTAAACTCCTGTATCAGCAGTGAGTGCACCTTAATGCAGCTGAATTCACTAATATGAGGGTTTGTCCACAAACTTTTGAGCATATAGTGTGTTTTGTATTCAAGAATGAAAAATGGCTATTCGATACTGATTTCTAGAATTTGTATATATAATATAATATAGTAATTCTGATGTGTTCTAGTATTGTCTATATGAATAACCTATACACACATTCAAGCCAGTTATCTTCCTGGGTCGCAGGGGGTGCTGGAGCATATCCCGGTCAGTATGCAATAAGGGAATTCATCATCAAATCATGATTTTCTCTTCTTCTATCAGCATGTCAGCACTGTACAGTCCTCATAATCTGCCTGATTTAACATTTATTCTTTATAGACACTCATATCATTCCTGTAGCACAAGCTGCTGCTGTTAATGCCATAAGAGTAATAGTGAAGCATACGATTTTAATATGTGGACCACAGAACATATTTTTGATATGGGCCTGGCATCTGCCACGCGCAAACTGATACATAACTAAACCAGGCAATCATAAAGACAGAGATCAAGTAAGGTTTATATTTATTACTCTGGTTGTGATACATTTATATATTAAGCATCTGCTTTCATGAAATATGTATACTTATACATTTTGTCGTTAATCTGTTTGCGAGATTAGTAGAGTTAGTAGATGTTAAAATAAAAATAGGCATTACATGAGGCAAAACATGAAAGTGCTTGTGTAATTTGCGACCCATGGGGGCCCTAAACAACCACTAATAGCAAGAGACAGGCCAGGCCACTCCATTGCACGTTTCCAAGTCAGAAGTCAAATTTTCTCTAAGACTTGAAGGTACAATTGAAAACAATGTGAGTAGATAAAGTGGGAGCACAAATTAGTGAGCAGGGTAAGCTACAGTACTTCCACTTAGTTTTTTCCCTGCTTGGACAACTCGATTTAACTCATCCACTACTTGTTAAGCCCTTAATGAGCTACATCAATGCAGTTAAAGTGCCAAAGACACTGAAATGTGTAGGTCTAGGGTACAGGTGGGCGATATGGCAAAAATGTAATGTAATAATGATACTTGAAGAAGTTTTTGCGATACACCATGTCGTGATATTATTTTTTTAACATCTGATAAGCTGGAACAGACACAACAGGTAATGCCACATTTAAAAAATACTATCAAAAACTATGAATCCAGCATTTAACACATTATGCTACACTAAATACAATTAAAACAGACTTATCATGCTCAAATCCACAATATGCTCAGAAAAGTATTGTAATGATTGTGATATGTAAATTATCACGATAACTATAAACATTGTCATATTGCTCAGCTCTAGTTTATGGACTCTCAAGACTGGTTAATGGCTACACAGAGACATTTCCTCAACCCAGGAGAAAGTTGCATTTTCTGCATTACTCTTATTTCACCCCTCTGCACAGCTACAGCCACTTTACACTGATACAGCACTGATACAGCTACATTATGTCATCATGCTTCAATCAAGAGGAGGAGGTTAAACAGAGTGGCACCAGTTGTGCATGTTTGTGTGTGTGTGTGTGTGTGTGTGTGTGTGTGTGTGTGTTTATCAGAATGTGATTGAGAGTGAAATTCCCAGTAAAGGTCTCAGTAGGACTCGAGTCATGTGTTTATGTGTGTGTATGTGCTCTGTGCAGGACCTGTGCGGGCATCACTCGTGTGATACACTGGGCATGGCCGATGTGGGAACTGTGTGCTCTCCAGAGAGAAGCTGCGCTGTCATCGAGGACGACGGCCTGCACGCCGCTTTCACCGTTGCGCATGAGATTGGTACACACAGTTATCATTTACACTGGTTTTCTGTTTGTTCAGAAACAGCATTGCACAATGTAGTGTGTTTCCTGTTCTAAAACTCCTATTGGAGGTCTTGATGAATTTAGCAGACCAATAGGGATAACTATAAGAAATGTCGGGCTAAATATGGGTGGGAACAATGCCTCATGAACGCAAGTACCTCTCACATTGTCGGCAGTCTCCAATGGACAGCAAGCCTGTCGTTAGCCCACAGATGTAATGTTCATGTGCATTTCAGTGTGGTAAAAAATAAACATTACCTCTTGCAAGCAAAAAACAATTCTGCTAATGATAGCGTTTTGCTAACTAGCTTGTTTTGCGCTTGTTGTCAATTGTGCTCCAGAACATTAATAGAGGAATTTGCCACAATCCAGCACCAAAATTTTAAGTTGTCCCCAAATGTGCGTTCTCATTATGAGATTATGTATGGCCTCACAAGACTAGTACCCAGTTTCCTAAAAGCACCTTAGTGTTGAGAACTGTTGGAGAGAGTGTTCAGTGTAATGCTCACTCTACCATTTGAAAACTGCCTTTGTGCTAAATACAGCCTCAGTCAGTGGTCCAACTAATAATCTACTTAATAAGTCCATCCTGGAGTGAAGCAGGGAAGACACTAAAAACACAGAGTTATGCTAAAGCAGGAACAACAGTAAACTGTGGCTCTGGACTTGCAGCCTAACCTTCTTATTCTGTTTCCTTATTACTGCTATGAGTTTGACAAGGGGCAGGAGAAAGATGCATTACATACAACTGTGCTTTTAATGGTGATAAATCTTGCCTGATTTCATTACCTCTTATGGTTCTGAACATAAAGATTTCACCCTCTGGATCTCCACAGAAGAGCTTTATGAGATGTATAACAAAATCTTGGCAATGTTTCTGAGATCCTTCCCAGTTTTATGAGATTTGTTTTACATCAGAGAAGACAAAAACATAATTTGGCATCCATATGTCCCCTGATATTTTGGCAGTTGTATAATTTATCTGCCTTCGAAAGCACAGCCCAGGGAATACTCTTGCCTTCAAACTCATGGATTACTCCCCAGTGAATTTAGAAACAAAAAAAATTGCTCTAATGTGGTTTGTTCTCAGGGCACCTTCTAGGACTGTCCCACGATGACTCCAAGTTCTGTGAGGAGAGGTTCGGCTCCACAGAGGACAAGAGGCTTATGTCGTCCATCCTAACGTCCATCGATGCCTCCAAACCCTGGAGCCGCTGCACCTCGGCCACCATCACCGACTTCTTTGATGATGGAAATGGTGTGAATCTACCTCATGGCTCTTAAACGTGATGTTTTTAAAGTGGCTGCCAAAACAATTCCTTTTCCTTTACTCTAAATGTAATCAATCAGTCTAATCAAGTTCAGTCTACTTCCATTTTGTCTATGTTTATATATAACAATATGTCATACAGTGTCAGAAACCACATAAGCAAGCCTGTCAGAGATGACTTAAAGGGAAATTCCACTAATTTGTACATAGTTCAATGTATCAACAATGCATCAGGTACTTGTTTAACATCTTTCTGTGAGGTAGCTTTATAGGCATTCAATGCTTTGGATGTCTGGTTCCTATCACCACCACTGTGAACAATTCTGACCTAACAAGCTTCTCTGCAACGTTGTATCTCACATCAAAACACCCTGAACGACTTTGTTTAAAAATTGGTAGAATTCCCTTTTAAGAACACATTGTGGTTTGAGGGAAATGTGAGATGATTTAGATAGGCATGTGGTTTGCATGATGGGAATGGGTGGCCACAAGCTTCCATTACTTTAACCTAATTAGCCTCGTAGCTCTGATACAAAACTAAAGTCGCAAATACTTTGGACATCAAACATGTCTTGGCTGATTGATTACATTTGTGGCAAGGGGAAACTGTGTAAGTGACAGAAAAAAATGAGTTTACAATGTTTTTCCTTAAACCAAATGTAGTCATGTTTGGTGTCTGAGGTTTGCTCTTTTAGCTGTTTTTGCTAACAAATAATGGAAGCTTATACCCCACCAGTTAGCATCATGCAAACTGTATCCCTACGTCAACGTACTTGCCTCAAACTGCAGCGAGTTTTTAAGTAATATCAACCAGACATGCTAATGTGGTTTCTGACAATGTTTTACTGTTATTTTTAAAAATAGACCAAAGAACATGCAAAATTCAGGCTTCAAGATAACTGCTACTACTGTTTTTAGCTATGCTACTTTTTTCCATTTTCATCGATAGCACTATAGTGTAGCATGTCAGTTACATTACTTTACATAAGCAAGGCTATTTAAAATTACTTTTTGCAGTTTGAGGCTAGTGATGATTTAGACATACCATTTGCAAAATGCTAATAGTAGCCATAAGCATTCCTCTGTTTAACCTAATTAGCCCTGTAGCTTCGGTACAAAACTAAAGAGGCAAACTTTGGACCCCAAATGTGTTATTTTTAATGGGCTAAAATTGGGTTTTATCACTTTAAGAGAGTGAAAACATGCAAATGCCATCACATTCTCACAGCAATCACAGGATTATGCCATGTCTTCTGTAAAATGTTTGGCCCCACACTTTTGAGCACTTTAGCAGACAACAATTTCACTTAATTGTTCTATTATACACAAAGCACGCATAGCACCAACCAAGTTTAATAAACGAAGGCCCGTGGGTCTCTTCACAAATACGCAATAGCCATGGTAATCAGAACTTATATGGTAATTGGAATGACTTAATTTCTCTGAGAAGTACTTGAGGAATCCAAATCTGAGTAGTGCTAAGAAGCTAGCACTTCATTGTGTTAATTCTTCATACTTTCGCTCTCCTCTATAGCGGAGTGTTTGCTGGACATGCCACGCCAGCCTATCCTGGGCCCTGAGGAGCTCCCAGGTCAGAGCTATGATGCAGTGCGCCAGTGCCGGCTAGCTTTCGGGCCTGAGTACACGGTGTGCCCGGGCATGGACGTGTGCGCCCGCCTATGGTGCGCAGTGATCAGGAAGGGCCAGATGGTGTGCCTGACCAAGAAGCTTCCAGCTGTAGAGGGCACACCATGCGGCAAGGGCAGGATATGCCTACAAGGGAAGTGTGTGGACAAGACCCGCAAGAGGCACTATTCGGTAAGTTTGGTGAGGAGGTGTGCTGTGGGTTGGGGAAGATGGTCTGAGGAGCATGGTGATGAATACGAATGTGTAATTCAGTGAGGCTTAATGGACGGGTTTGATCTGAATATTTGTTCAGTTTCTTAAGTGGGTTAATCTTGTTGTTGTGGGCACTCAATGTACATGTACATACAGAGTATGCTTTTGATGTAAACTGGACAGCCCTAATGTTGGGTAGCACTTGCATAAACAGTACCCTCACCAATCAAAAGTTTGATGTGGTTTGTTCTGCCACACAGCTTAAAAACTATGCACTAGAATCAGAGAAACTTTGGTACCAAAAGCTAACAACCAAGCAAAAGCTAACCTTAACTGAGACATCGAGCTAGCTCATCTGTCTGTCTGTCGCCCATCCATTCGTCCTTCCATATGATCATTCACCCAGCCATGCCAACATTCCCTGGATGCACTTCAACATGAAGAGGAATAAGAACCTTACCCTCTTTAGGATGTCACCATAGAAGCTGGTTAATGTTTTGAGTCAGTAAAATCAGCAGAGCTTAAACAAGCTTGTACAGTTGTGTGCAGTCAAAACAGAGAGAAAGCAGGCGTGAAGGAGAGATCTAGAAGGAGTACGTGAAAAAGGGTGAGAAAGATTGACAAGGGCTTTGAAGGAGACCTGCAAGAGACACTTATTAGAGTTGGAGAGCGAGGAATGGAACGAAATTGAAAGATGGATAGATGTATTAACTGTATGAAGGAAAAGAGCAGCTAGAGGCAGTGTGTAAAAGAGACCTGCTGAAAGAGAATGTGATTGGTAGCAGGAAAGAACGATAGGTGTTTTTATGTGCTGAGAGGCTAGGCATGATGTACTGCTCTCACAGAGCAGGACCGCACTACAGAGAGAGCGCAGGAGATGTGTTAAAAGTGCATGGAAAGGCTCTCCAGGAGGCACTGTTTGGATAGAGAGGTAACGAGAGGGAACTTAGGATGGAATGTGAAGGAGAGGGACAGTGAGGGAGGGAAAGTCAAGCAGGCGTGTTGAAAGGAAATAAAGAGAGCACCTAGGAGAGGCGTTATGTGGTGAAAGACAGAGAGGAATTCAGCGTGAGGAGAGGTGGGACAGGGTTAGCAAAAGAGGCACTGACGAGAGATCAGCGGGAGATGCCTTTAAGAAAACTGCAAGTAAGAGCAGGTGAAATGAGGCATGAAGGTGTGGGCCTTACTCTCCTGAGAACAGGGCTTATATGAGAAACAGGAAAAGAGAGAGAGGAAAGGGAGATGAGAAGTGGAAAGATGCAAGTAGGTGTTCCAACATGTGGACGAGACCCACAAGACGGCCATTAAATGCGAGAGAAAGAGGGGATGAGGAATGCTACACAATTAAGAGAACCATTTTTTTCTTTTCAATTAAGTTGTGGCCAATTTTTCAAACTGCTGGTAATGCAACATCATTGAGCAGCTCAACACACTTGGAGGAGAACATTAACTGCCAATTCTGAGTGATAGAAGGAGAGGGAGGGCCATCCTCTCCACCCACAGAGAATGGGTCCTGGATTTTGTAATCAGTGATACGTTAACAGTATATTAACAGTTCAATGATTGCAAAACCCAGGAAAGAAAATTGAATTCTTGTTCTGGATTTCAAGACCTCTGGCTTAGACAGTTGGCATAACTGACAAGAGAGCCCATCTTCAAAAGCAGTGCTCCTCCACCCACTCCCTAGGGCCCACCAGATGGCCCAAATCTTTGCTGTATCATTGCTCCTGGTAGACCTAACCAAACATTCAGTGTTCTTGGTCCATGAGTGTTGGAAGCTTGGATAGACCAAAAACGTGAACCTACTCTAAGGCCCGAGAATCACTGTTTAGCATTAGCTCGTAGTTTATGTTGTCAAGTTAAAATGGTTCTTTCTATTGCATCAAAATCCTCACTCCCCCTCTTTCACTTGCACTCAATGGTCATTCTGAGTGACCTCCTGGAGCTCTACCTTTCTGGTTTAGTTTTGAGCCTTACTCTGCTAAACAATCTCCTGATCAGCTGGATCAAGTGCATTAGGTCAAGGTTGGAGCTTAACTCTGTGGGAAGGTAGATCTTAAATCTCTTTGTGGCCAATGCTCTAAAGCAAGGGTTTGCAACATTGATGGAAGTAGGAATGGTTTCATGAACAAAACAAATTTACACAACTGTCTACTTAGCCAATCAGCCAAGACATGTTTGGTGTCCAAATTGTACTTATTTAGTGTAGTGGTGGAGCTACAAAGCTAATGTTAAGCCAAAAGTTACCCAAATCTTTTCTGCAAATACACAGCCAAAGCTTCTTTCAGCCCACACAAACCACATCCGTGTCTTCTTGAAGTTCGCACAGACTTGTTGATGTAATTTAGGACGTAATATGACTTACTGCAAACTATAAAGATACCATGTAGTTAACCACAGCTATTTTAGACTACAGGTATTGTGCCAATTCCAGTGCAGGCATGAGGATGCAACAGAGTACATTTGCGATTTCTATTGTCTCTGCTAATCTGGAGTATTTGAACCAAGGAGATCTGTTTATAAATGGAAACAACAGAAATCACGAATGTAAAAGTAGCTAAATGTAATGTAATATGCCTGCGTAACATGTGTGACTATTGACTTCTGGTGTTTGATAGCAATGTCAGCCTCATAGCTTCAGTGCTAAACTAAAGAAGCAAAATTTGGGTACCAAGTATGTCTTGGCTGATCAATCACATCTGTCAAACCATTACTTAAACATTCAAAGACAAATATGTAGGAAAAACAGCCTGTTCATCATATAAAACAAGACATGAAACTGGATACGGTCAGAAGAAGTGTGCTATTTGGTAAGATGACCAATTTTGTATGAATTCAGACTACAGTAATAGACAGTATCTGGGTATACTTTCTTCCAGTGCTCTCCATGAGTTATTGTGTGCATACCTTTGTAGAAACACAGCCGTAAGACGTTGCCTTTGCCTGAGGTAACCAGATTAATGTCAAGCATATTTGGCCCACAGGGCTTGGGGAATTTCCCTTACTGTCTCTTCTTTCCTGAAGGCTGCGCGAGTATTTTTGTCCATGTCTGCCAGGCCGTTAAGTGTTGCGGAGGACTCATTTTCTTTTCATAGGACAATGTTCCCTTTGAGAGTATTTGCGTGCATGTTTGTTTGGAATTAGGAAACGTGGTTCTGGTGTCTTCCCTTCACATACGCTCATGTCTTCCCCTCCTTTCCTCTGGTGAACTTGTCTTCCGTGGTGGTGCTCTTTCAGAGGGTCCAATGTTAAGGGCCTTTGCAGTGCATAGTTGCTCACTCGAGACAGGTCTCCAGCTGTTTTTGGCTAAACGCTTGTTTATTACGAATGGGAATGGGTGTGCACACACCCTTATATAAAACCTCTCTCTGAGACTCTTTCAGCTTGCCATTCATGCAACCGAATTCTTTCAACATTAAATACAGTCAAGAACAATGTGCTTCAGTGACTCCCTCGAGGACTGCAGATCCCAGGTGGACCCAGAGCCCCTTACGGCACTGGGCAGTTGTTTTCTTTTGATCGTCTTTATGCTAGTGGCAAACATACTTTTGATTTTGCAGTACAATTCCATTACTTGTTTCTTCGTCCATGTAAATAACATGCTCTATTCTCTAAGGGCAAATTCTTTCTGCTATCGTTCCACCAAACTCTTGTCGCAGTTTGTTTTCAAGCAAAGTTTCTTGGTGCGTGTTCCTGTAAATTGCCTTCAGTAGTACGATTTCATAAATGATTTAATAGAATTCGTGAGGAAATATAATGTACTCTTTATAGCCTCAACTCATTGACCTATTTTTGTGTCCTTTCAGGCCTCTAACCACGGTAGCTGGAGTTCCTGGGGGCCGTGGGGGACATGCTCTCGGACATGCGGAGGTGGAGTGCAGTTTGCCCACCGTCTGTGCAACAACCCCCCTCCTCGCAACAACGGGCGCTACTGCACCGGAAAGAGAGCCATCTACAGGTCCTGCAATGTCACTCCCTGCCCTGCGCAAAGTGAGTGCCCCCGACACAAATACAAACAAACATACAACACAAACCTTCTCAAAGGATGCACCAATCACAATATCTTAAAGATATCTTTAATATCTTCATATACATTTAAACTCATAGTTCACAGTACAACTCATGCCCATTACCTGTAATGTTGGCTTGGGCCCGACCAATAAATCAGGTGGCCGATATATCAGCCAATATTAGTAATCTGCAATATTATTGGTATTGGATGATAACGTGCCAATAATTAATGATTAATGATCCAGGTGATAGGACAAAACAGTGTCATGTTACCATTACTGGTAATTGTTCAGAAAAATGCCATAATGCTTGATGTCATGACGGCTAACTAGAGTAACATTATTACGTGAAACACTTAATTGTAATGAATGTGTTTTAGCTTTCATTTGTATTGATAGAGATTTTACCTCAGGTAATCTGCTTTTACTGTATCACTGAGGACAGTGTTACCCAGAATTCTTTGAGGTTTTAGCTTCTCTTAATTACCTCTTTTTTCCTATTTTTCATCAGTTCTCTTCATAGTAAATGTTTTTGTTTCACAACGTGATATGTCCATGCTAAATCGTAGGACTGGATGCATTTAACATGTTTTTGTTGTTCACTATGATAGTATTTTGTGTTCAGATTTACCAGTATGGCTTGTCTTGCTGTGATAAAAGTAAACAGGTAGTGACTTTAAGCTTAACAGTTGCTAACTGGGCTCTCAGTAGACAAACTTGTAAGGTTTTGTTCTATTGTCAGAATATCACATGTCTTAATCCTGCTGATACCACAGCCCAAGAGGATGTCACTGATTACGGTCATCATGATATCACTAAATCTGTGGATTGTCAATAATGGTTGATACCAGCCAGTCATTATATTTGTCAGAATTTTCTGTTAAATGAGTGACAGATTATGTATGGTATGTTTTTTACAGAAAACATACCATACATTTTTGCCAGTACATTTTCTATTTTATTACCTTTTTTCAGTGTATGTATGGTTTAAAAGGTCAAATTAAGAAAATGCATTAACTACATTTCACACCACTAGTATAAATCCCACCCATTAATACCACTACTATTGCTACTATCACTACAACTAATAATAGTAATAATAACAACAACTATATTCATTTTGTGTTGCTTTGTATCCGTTAGGTAAGACTTTTAGGCAAGAGCAGTGTGAGGTGAGGAACGGGCCTCAGACTGACCCTAAGGGAGTGAAGACCTTTGTGGAGTGGGTTCCCAAGTACGCTGGTGTACTGCCAAAGGACATGTGCAAGCTGACTTGTAGGGCCAAGGGCACAGGCTACTATGTAGTCTTCTCTCAAAGGGTAAGTTCAGGGCAGTTATTCACAATATAATGACTGCACACAAATTTTGCACAGAGCTGTGGCATGAAGTCTTAACCAGAATTAATGAGGGCTAATAAGTGACGCAATTGGTATTAAGTGGTATTAAATTACTAACCAGGCAGCATTAAACGAAATGCTTGTCAAGTCCTGTTATCCTGGAAAGTAAGAAGAAGAACTGAGCTAATGACCAGGGCTTTGCCAAAAAGAACAGTTCAGCATTTGGCAGAGACACCTACCATGCAAAGTGAAAAAGAATGACTGTTTGTTTTTCCTCAGGTGATAGATGGAACTGAATGTAGGCCCTACAGCAGCTCAGTGTGCGTGAAAGGGAAGTGCGTGCGCACCGGCTGTGATGGTATCATAGGCTCCAAGCTGCAGTATGACAAGTGCGGCATCTGTGGTGGCGACAGCACCAGCTGTATAAAAGTGGCTGGCAACTTCACAAAGAAATGGTAGGAGAATGCTCATATGCACCAAGTTGTTTTTGCAATTAATTTGCCAAATGTTCGCTGTAAGTTTAGATGTAACTGTTCTTGCATGTTGTCAGTTTTCATCTTTTATTCAAAGCACTTAACAGAAAGGATACAATGACATATTTGATACTCGGTCTGCAACTACTGGATGTTTCATTTTCAAATATTCTGTCGAATATTATTTCTTATAATAATTACTTATTTTTCTTTTCATTTTTTACTTAAACTTAACTGAAATACATCAGGGTACTGAAAAAAAAACATAACTGTGAAACAAGAAACTAACACAGCACAATGCTATTCGGAGGAATTACACCAAATCTGGCAACACTGAACAAGTTTTAATATGATGAGCAGTGCAGAGAAACAGAGGAAGCAACATCTTTTCAACCCTTAATAACTTTGTTGTTAAGTGAGTGGCTGAGTAACTGCAATTCTACATGATGAAGGTTTAGAATGCTGCACAAACACCACTTTCCCCCAGAGCACACTCTACACTTAGCGAAATGTTGGACTTTACACCTGGTGTAGTCTCAGTTTGTTTCCTACGACTCCAAACAGCTTACTAGTTTTCACACTCTCTTTTATTCTTTATAATAAATGTAGCAAAGCTAACTAGATAGCAATCCAGAGCTATTCCAGAACTCATTTAGACTGCACCGAACAATTAAACTTGATATTGTCAGCTCAAAATAGGCTCTGCTTCTTTGTCCTTAACACACTAGCATTGAATAATGTATTTAAAAAGCAGTACTTGAGTGCTTATGTCACTTGAAACAACTGCTGATCTTGTTTTTTGCATGAAAAGATCATTGTTTCACAGTGTGAAGACAACTGCTTGATACTGGTGACTGGAAAGCCTGTTAAAGTGTGTTACTAAAACATGGTGCGCATAATTGAGTGGTTGCATAGAAGTAATAATAGTGTTGGTTATTCAAATGAATTTATAGTTATAATGTATTTGAATTATTGAATTTGTCAAATTTTATAAATGATAAGTTGCAGCCCTATACTGTACCGGTGGTTCCCAACCCTGGTCCTGGAGAAGCACCAACCTGCAGATTTTGGTGTTTTCCTCACTCTAACACACCTGATACAACTAGACAGGCTCTTTCTAAGTTGAAGTGAGTGTGTTAGCACAAGGAAAACATGGCAGCACTTTATTGGAAGACTACCTACATAGTCTTTAACACATGTGTTAGCACTGAATAATCTATTCAAAAAGCAGTACTGGAGTAGTTATAAACGGCTTATGTCCATATTCTCATGTTTTATGAAGAAAATGACATTGTATTGACATAAGGGTCATTATACTAAAGTGATGGACATTTGCTCCCTTTATAACACCATTGTGAAGCATCACAAAGCAGAGAGCAAATTAGGAAACCATGTACCAATTCAGTGAAAGCTTTCAAAAGCCTTAAAAAGATAACTTTCATTTTCTCATATATTTTCTGTGTCACTTTAGTCTGAGGGCATCTTTTATTCAACTGATGAGCTAATAAGTTCCATAACTTGAGAATGATACTTAAAAAAGTTTAAATAATGGAGCTTTATATCCCCAGAAATAAATGGAACTGATGTCTTTCACTTTAGTTTAAGGGCCCTTATGTCAATACAATGTCATTTACTTCATAAAACACCTAAATAATACTGATATAAGCTGTTCAGTATTGCTTTATTATGTTTTATTTGATTTATATGCATGTGTTATGATGTCTCTATTTTGGTAGAATTCAAAAGTGTTACCAAAAACACTAAAATGTGTAGGGCAGGGGTGTCAAATGACCAAGGTTGAGACCTACTGTAGTGCTTCCCAAGGATGTCCAGGCTGTCGAGCTTGGTAGTATACTGATACATCATGCCTTGCTGCTTTGAAAGAAGGAGCTGTTAAGACTAGCATGCTAATCACATTTTTCTCCACCTTCTCTTCCTCTAATCCCACCTACAGTAAGGGCTACACTGATGTGGTAAAGATCCCCGAAGGCTCAACTCACGTCAAGGTCCGTCAGTACATGCCAAAAGGTCAGACTCGCTTCACAGCCTACCTAGCCCTCCGTCGGCCCGGAGCAGATTACCTCCTCAATGGCAAGTTCATGATCTCCACCTCGGAGACCGTCATCCCTTTGAACGGCACTATGTTCAACTACAGTGGCTGGAGCCAGCATGATGAGGCCCTCCACAGCATGGGGCCTGGGGCTCTCCGAGAAAGCCTGGTGGTCCAGATATTGGCGACCGATGCAAAGAAGCCACTAGACATACGCTACAGCTTCTTCATGCCACGCAAGATGCCGCTCCCGCCTCGGACCACCTCACTGCTTTCCGCCACAGCTGCAGCTTTGTCCTCAGCTGAGGTGTTGACCATGACCACGGAGATGCCCTCCACGATTGAACCTGCATCAACGACCCCACCTGGACCTAGGTGGGTGACAGGGCCATGGATGACTTGCTCCAGGACTTGTGACACGGGCTGGCAGAGTCGCACCGTTCAGTGCAAGGACCCTCAGGGTAAGCTAAGTAAGGGGTGCCCTCTGGGACCCAGACCTTCAGCCTTTAAACACTGCCTTGTTAAAAAGTGCTGAAGAACCTTCAAGGAAACAGACTTGGGAAAGCTTGCTCTTATGGACACGTGCCTCTTCTTCCACGTCCGCAGTGGAAGGTCTCAAGAAGAGACGGACAGATTGGAGCACATAGAATCTTTTGGAGCAGAACCATAAAAGGTTCTTTTGCAGTCGTGATTGTTCTTATGCTGTTTCATGGCCTAGAATGTCACTGTGGAACTTTGGCTTGTATTCTGACGATGACCTTGGACAAGGAGCGCCAGCCCTGGCCTCTAATGCAAAACAGTGACTTCATCTACAGTCTGGATTCACTGATAAATAGCCACTCCTCTCCTGACAACCACATCTCTTTGTCCAGTCACTCCCCTTTGGGGTTCAGTGCATGTCCATCACCAGATGAGATTTGAACTGCAATCCAGCAACAACAACAGAAATGAAACCTTAGGTTCACATAGAGGACTGCAGGTGAATTGAGATATTTCCACACCATGGGACTGTAGTGAGACTACTCTGGCTTTGGAGTTCGACAGCTCTAACAATGGTGCAGACCTTCTAGAAATGGAAGCTTGTAAACATGCCCATTGGAGTGTATTTGTGACCAATACCTGTTACTATTTTCTTATGTTTATGTCCAGCACATTCTCAAAACAGCCTGATGGACTTTTCTTTAAAACTGAAAAAACCATAAGGGCACATTTTCACATTTCATTGTGAGATCTGTTGCCCTCCATGTGTGTATGTTTCTTTCTCTATGTGTTCAGGATCCTTTTTGTTTATATGTGCCATGGATTCTTGCACACCAAGAGGGATAACTCAGACCATACGTCCTATCCCGTTTTCCACTATTGACACTTTGCCATGTAGAATTTGGAACACTGGCTGAAGGAATTCTCCAGAGTAATTCACATCTCTATCTGTAGTGAACTGTCAAAAGTCAGAGGCCACCTTTCATCTCTTTACTTTACAGTTAAAACAGCCATTAATTATAAGTTAACCCTTATTCAGCAACCGAAAAAAACAGGAAACATATATTTAACAGAAAATTACGCAGAAGCTTCAACAACTAAATATAATTACAGTTTTTTCAATATATAGTGTGCTCACCCTTCACCTAGACATTTAAAACAGATGGTTCTTCAAAGGTTGTTTAGTAAAGGCAATGATTCTATTCGGAACCATTCATGCTTAATTGGTTCTTTGCATGGTAAAATGGTTCTTCAGACTGACGGAAAATGTGTTGTATATGGTTCTATATAGAACCTTATTGAATATGGCTCTGTGTAGTACCAAAAAGGGTTCTGCTTGACATTGTAACTATAGCAGAACCCTTTTTGGTGCTATATAGAACCATATACAACACATTTTTCATCAGTCTGAAGACCCTTTCTACAATGCAACCAATTAACCCATGCAACCATTTAAGTCTAAAATGGTTCTATATAGATCTTATGATTCTAAAAAAAACCCATTGCCTTTCCTAAAGAACTTTTGAGGAAACCATCTTTTTAGGTGCTGTTGGGATATTTCTCCAAAGTTCGGTCTTAGAGGTTTTTAGGTTTTATGCTCTGCTTTTCAGAATCCAGTTAATCCTAAACACATTGAGTGATGCTGAGATTTGAACTGAGTTCATTGTTCTGAGAACATCAGCAGCTTCTTTGTTTGGCTTGCAAATTTGCACTCTGACTTTTGCATAGTACTGTATTTTCTTGTACTCGGAAAAGAACTGAAACACAATTTTAGGGCTTGACACACTATTCTAGAAGATGGTGGGCATTTGCTGAATTCCATTCATAAATGTTTGTGCAAACACATATTTTTGATGTAGTTGATGCATTTGTTTATGAATTCTTTAATATTTATAACTTAAGCTAGAACTAATACGTTATTGAAGTAGTGGTGTGGGTGGAGTTCTTACAGGCTTCTCCCTGATTTCCATGGATACCAGATAAAAGAGAAAGCAAAAGTAACCCAAACTGCTTGCTCCAGTGTTCAAAAGTTCATAAGAATAGCTTTGGTAGTAGATTCTTTGTATTATAAGAGCGTAACAGATCTAATTCATATTATACAGTCACTTAGTTCTAGTTTATTCACAGAATTTAGCGACTGCCCATTGGTTTCTGTTATAAGTGAGCTTCTAGCTGATGGATTTTTCTGTTCTTTTTCTAAGTACAGGGAAATACGTTGAAATTATTGTTAATGGTAATGGACAGTATGATACTGATGTGGTAGATTGAGATTCTGGAACATTCCTTTAATGCACTCATCCCAAATTAACATGCCTGTATGCAGCAATATGATAAGGACATGCAGTATACATTCATACTGAACACATAAACAAGCACATACAACATAAACACATTGCTATCTGTTGTAAGGTTGAAGTAGATTGACTTTTAACACAATGTAGCGTAAAACAGAAGATAATTTCAGAAATTCTTTCAAATTTGTCCCCACTAACCAAATTTTTGATGTGTTGAAAGAAATTTAATTGAATAATTCAGTAATGATTACATTTGCCCATACATTGCATTAAAGCTCAATCAACTTCAACCCTGAAGAGCCGAGATTTCACCTCGTCTTCATTATATCCAGTACTGTCTGACTCTCGCGTGGGACAAAAACCCTTTGCTGAACGACAGAAAACACAGCACTGAATGATAATTTATTGTTTGTACAACTGGTATGTGAAAAAATAATACGTGATGAATTTATTTATTGTTATGGTCTTTTTTTTGTATCATAATTACTATTTAACTAGTAATATGAATATGACTGAGCAGAATATTTCCTTTTTAAGAAAATAGTGTTTTTGTTTTCTAGTCATCTTCAGAATATGTGTATAAAATATATATATATATATTTAAATTCTGACTTCTTCGTGGTATTTATCGTTTACACTGACGCTGACATATTCGATCTAACCTCGCGTTCATCTATTATCACATACCCGGAGGAGCCTTCAGAGAAATGCTTCAAATACAAGTTAATGTGGGAACCAGTTTCTGACATTTCTGCATAATTAAATGTTTAAGATGCAAACAAAGTCATTCAGAGGGGTCTGAATGCTCCGTTCAAGAGTCTGAATTGCTCACAGCGGTGGTAACAGTAATCAGGGGTCTCATTTATCAAAGCCTGCATAGAATATGTTCTAAATCTGTGTGTAAGAACTGCCAGTACACACTAGAAAATTGCCAGTTATCAAACATGTGTATGCATAGCTGCACACAACAATGATAAATCTACACTGCTCTGCTCATGCAAGGCCAGGCTCATTTTCATAAATAAAGGCCCCTCAATAACTACACTCTTGTGCAAATAAAATGGGCCAAACCCAAAATTGCAAAATATTAAGCTTTTAATCACCTCAACAGGTCAGGAAATGAGCAAAAATTAAACAAAAGATACTGTAACTTAGTATGGGGTAGCCTTTCCCTTTGATTTCCTTAAATGCTTAAGTTTTGGGGGTAAACTTGTGCATAGCTTTTTACAGAAGTACTAGTCAGTGTTCTTCCACTCAATGTTAAAGACTTCAAACAGTTAATGAGTAGTTGAAAAATGTTTCCCGGTTAGTTTCTCCTTAATGTGATACCAAATCTGGACTCTGAACAGGCCAAAACATGAGCCTGGTGGACTTGTTCTCAAGCCACTTCTTGGTGGTCTTTGCAGTGTGAGCAGGAGCATAGACTTGTTGAATATCATGTGATCGTTCCTCTTTTGAAAACAACTTTTCGCCTGTGGGAGCAAGCCTGTCTGCAATATTTTCCTGTACTGACTTCTCAGAGTGAAGCAGCTCACAAGTAACAGAGCTGAAATGGCTCCCCACACCATGACACCTCTACCTCCACGCTTAATGGTAGTAGAGTTGCAGTCAGAGCTGTATTTCTCACCAGATCTTTGAAGACACCTCTCTGGACCATCACCATCTCAGATCGTGATTCATCAGTCAAAACAGCTTTGCTCAATCACTCTGAATCAAGCCAGAAACTATATTCTGTCCTTGATGTTTTTCTTAGACAGCAATGGCTTTTTAACACATCTTCTAGACGTAAAACCACCATTTTTCTAGACAGCCTCCTGGTTATTGTTCTTCTCGAAAGAGTCTTGTTTTTGAAGGCTTTTTTCTTGTCTTTGAGACCTGTAAGTTTCAGCAGATGGTCTTTTCTGTTTAAAGAGGCTTTGGGCCTTCCAGATCTGGCAACACCACCTGTTGTTTCAAAGTGCTGACGTATTCTCTTAATAGCTGATAGTGAAACAGGGATTTGCTGTACCTTCAGGCTCTTGTAAACTTCAGAATAGCTACACTTGGCCTAAGGAAGACCAGCTATTTGGTTTCTGACAGCAACCCCTGCACAATATTTAACTTTTTTTGAGCTACATTTTCTTACTTGTTCAACTTAGGACTCACAAGACTGCATATTGTAGATCCCTACCTGTAGATATCTGTCACACCTGGCACTATTTAGGGGCTTGTTTTCAGGCTTGTGATGGGCTGCATCAGGTGTGGCAGATGACAACTAATCATTTAAAAAAAACAAGCCAGAAGATATTCATAATTTATCTTTGTGTAAAAAATGACTGTGTAAGTCAGTTTCTCTCACTTTTTCCCCCAAACAATTCACTGCAGCAACGAACAGTGACACGCAAATGATGGCACAGGTCTCAGTTAAAAGCTTAATACTTGTGGGTTCGGCCCATTTTTTTGCTCAGGAGTTTATATTTGGTGAACAACTTGCCTTTAAAAGTCCCGAATAGCCTGTGAAGCATTTTGTCACTTTCAAGCAAAAATCTTACACACTATTTGCCAAAAGTTTGTGGACACCTACTCATCCAAAGCTTCTTCCAAAATCAAGTACATTAAAAAGGAATTTTCCCCCTTTTGCTGCAATAACGGTCTACTCTTCTAAGAAGGCTTTACAGCAGATGTAGGAATGTTAGGATTTGATTACATTGAAGCACAAGAGCATTAATGAGATCAAGTGCTGATGTTGGATGATTAGTTCTGAACCACAAACACCTTTCCAACTCGTCCGGAAGACACTAGATGGAGCTCTATCACTCCAGGGGAAACAGGTACTGGGCTGCACAACTGGTCTTTAAACTCCTCTAACCGAAGCATGGCACTGGACATGGTGATCTTAGTCTCATGTTTGGCTGCTCCACCCTGTTTTATTGGGCAATGACTGATTGTTTACACATTAAATCATTTTTTGTAGGTTGAACTGACAATTATTTTTACATTGTATGAGCACTAGTTATTCCATCAATTTTGCAGAAATGGCTGGTAATAAAAGGGAGTTTGTTCTTCAATTACACTTTTCTGCCACTAGGGGTTTCTGCACACGCATGGATAAATATACGAACCCTCTCACGTATAAGATAAAATGGTACATAATGCTCTATGCATAAAAAACATGCGTATGTGAGGTTTACACATGAAACTGAGCAGATATGGTAGATTTTTTTCAGACAGAACAGAGTGCTGCACAGGCTCTGCAGACTGTACATAATGCTAGTGCTAATGTTAGTATAGACGGCTCCAGTACTGGGATAATTACTCAAAAAGTATTCCATCAC